GCCTCCCCATGCTCACCTCTGCTGCCCTGCCCCTCACCACTGTGCTCCGGCCACCCTGAGCGCCTGCTCTGCCTGCCCCAGGGCCTTTGCACATGCTGTGCTCGCTGTCTGGACTCTCATCCCCGCTTCTTTCTGCCCGGCCATCTCCTCCTTTCATGTCTCATTCCAATGCTGCTCAAGCTTGCTGTCTACCAGTGTCATATGTGCCTGTGGGTCCCCGCACTTTCCTGTGACCGTATGTGTATTTACGTCACCAAGCAAGAGTAGACCGAATAGTTTAGAGCAAAACTGATCTCTGGTCCTGTCATTTGCTAGCTGTGTGACTTTGGGAGAGTCACTTAACCTCTCTGTGCTGTGATTTCCTCATCCACACAAATTCAGGGTGGTGTTGGGAGGATGAAATGAGCTAGGCTCCACCTGGGGAATCTGGAACCCTCTGTATGGGCCACTCCTCTGTCCCTCAGCGCCCCCTGCTCTTTCCTGGGCAGTAAGCAAAGACCTGGCTGTCTTAGCCACAGCTTTGAGTCTGAATGACAGGGGCAGGCGCCGTGACCTCAGTGACAGCCTTGACCTCTCTGAGCTTCCGTTTCCTTATCAGTGAAATGGGACAAGAACATGTTGTTCTTGCACCCAGAGTGTGTGAGGTTTGAATAACACACCACGTACAACGCCCGTGCCCGGCGCTGGGTCAGCATGGGTCCCTGGGTGAGGGCACCTGGTAGGTGAATGAGCACCAGAGGGGAAGGGTCTGTACCAGTCTCCAGTTCTGGCGTGAGCTCCTCAAAGTTGGGCACGTCCTTGACCAACACGTTGGGCACCGCCCAGTTCAAAGCCAGGACAGCCTTCCCACCCCTGTCACAACCAGCATCCTGGGTGCCTTCAGCGGGGACTGGAGGGTCCTTAGACACCAAACCCCACAGTGTTGGATCCTTGGTGAGTCCTAGGCCAGGGACAACAGGGGAGGGAGGTGACAGGTCAGCACACTCCAGGCTGGCCATGGCAGCCTCACTACTCATACCATCCACACCCCCTACCCCCATGCCCACGCTCTGGTGACCCACCTGCCATGAGACAGACTCACGGCTCATCCCCACGACCCATCCTGTGCTCCCCCCACCCGTTTCCTGGCCACTTTCCTGTGAATCATCACAGTCAAGGCCCTGAGGACGCAGGCCAGGGTTCCAATCCTGCTTCACCACCTGCCAGCTATGAGGCCTAACCCCTCTGTGCCTTAGTTTCTCCCTGTGAAAGGGGAAACGCTTTTTACAGTTGTTCTGGGGCTGCAGATGGGTTTCAGGGCCTGACAGCCTGGGTTCGAATTACAGCTCTGCCACTTTGAAGAACTCTGCCCTGTGGGGTCACATCCAAGCTCCTAGCTCAGACGATGTCTCTGGTCCACCCATTGCCCCATGGCCTCTCTCTCATCCCCTCCACATACACACACTCATACACAGCTACATACACTCACACACATATGCACAGATGTATGTACACACACCTACACATGCATATACACACACTTAAAATTATACACACAATTACATATTCACACCAACACACATACCCAGACATACACAAACACGTCTGCATACATCGCACACACATATACACACTCATGCAAATACACATATACATGTATACATGTAACACATGTATACATGTAACACAGCACATATATGCACACATATACATATATGCAATGCATACTCACACGTACACACTAACACATACACCACACTTACATACACACACACATCTATATAAGTAACACAGATATACGTAGACACATACACACCCATACATACACATACACATCCCTCCTGCCACCCTGAGTCCTGTTCCCTCAAGGAGTTGACCTCTAAACCTCGTTGTCCCTCTCTCCCGTCTACCTGGAGCGGCCTCCCCGTCCCTGCCTTCAACCTTGCCACAGCCTTCAGGGCCGGTCAAAGCCCAGCTCATCTATCACTGCCTCCAGGGAGCCCTCGTTGGCCCCTACAGCCCAGGGGACCCTCCACTGCACCTCT